GGGGGGCTCCTGGCCGGCGTCTTGTGCGTGCGCGCCGCACGCACATCACCCGGAAGTGACGGGAGGACGCCCGGCACACTGGGGGCGGGGGCACAGCCATACAAGGGAAAACCATAGAGTTTTCCCTTGTATGATCGTGGCCCCGCCCCCAGCGTACCCGGCATGCCCACGTCACTTCCTGGTGACGCGCATGCAAGGGTGGGGTTCCCCCCGGGGCCCGATTCCGCGGCGTCGGAAATCGGGCCTCCAAAGCGGGGGTTTACCCGCCCCCGGCCCCCACTTTGCAGCCCTACAATATCCACTTGTAGACAGTCACTGAAGTGGATTGAAATTGCATTATTTAGCATGTGTGAAAGCTCCCGGAAGATTCATGGAGGATAGATTTATTCGTGGCTACTAGCCCTGGTGACTGAAGGGAACCTCCATGTTCAGAGGCAGTAAATGTCTGAATGCCAGTGCCAGGATGCAGCATTATCAGAGGATTTTAAACAAGTGTTGGAAATCATCATAGTAGTTCACTTTTATTAAATTAGTTAACAAAACTTATGCCTGCCTTTCTGCTGAACAATATCAGCCCTCAAGGTGCCTGACAATATAAATAAAATAATTGAATCAATAACATAAGATGAAAAAAGCATCAAAAACAGAGTGGTATAAAATATATCAGTGACAATGATTTTAAGGGCTTAAAATGACCCTAAAGAAGCAGTCAAAATTAATTCATAAAAAACAGAACCCACCAATAAGCAGCAACTAAACAGCTAAACTTGCAGGAAAACAAACAATACAATCATAACAAGCAAAAACTTGAACTGGTTAGCACAATCTCAACCACACAAATTCCCAATTCAACCATTGTATTATACACAAAAATAATATGATCTAATAGATGACAAATTATTTTATTGCAAGCTGCCTTGGGCCCCTTTTTGTACATGTGGGGTATGGATTATAAATAGTTTAATAGGTAACAGGTCAGTTTGTGTGTGTCAGAGCTGCTTTTGATAACAGGACAGACTATATTCGACTAATTTTTGAAGTGCATTCTTTTTTGTTGTTGTTGAAAATTTCTTTAGGTTGCAAAGAACGAGGCCTTTGGGAATGTCCCTCAAGCAAACTGTGTATCAAATATACAATGATATGTGATGGCTTTCCAGACTGTCCTGATAAGGTGGATGAAAAAAATTGTTGTAAGTTTCTTATATCATGTTGCCTATATGTTACTCAGCACATCAGTGCCACAGTTAACATTGCATTGCATCCTGCAGAAAATCTCGACTGCAGGTATTTCCATCAGTGCCCCTCCCCTGGCACGGCAGCCCAAAATGCTCCCCCAAACGCTGGTCCTGGGGGACAAGGGTCCTCTGGGAACAGTGTGGCTGGGGAGCTGGAGGTTTGCAGCAGGAGTAGGGAATGGGCAAAAATGACCCCCATCCGTCAAGAGAAATTTCTGCTAGATCCAACCCACAGGGAGGAGTGAGGTCAATTTGTAGACAACATTCATTCTTAATAAATTGTTCCTTTTCACTCTTTTGTCCCTTTCATCTTTACTCTTGTATCAGGTTTTTCCTTCTGTGTCACTTGGTATCTACTATATTATCTGATACCAATTCTCCTTTTTTCTATCACACATAATCATGTCTTGTTTGAATGCCTTCATCCCCTTCTGTATTTTGTTTCTTCCTCTGTCATCTATTTGCCTATTTCCCTGCCCTGACATTTCCTTTCATGTCATACTTTTGCTAGAAATTGCAATCACTTCTGATAGCCTTTCGGTACCTTTTGCTGGTCTGTGTTTGCTTCATTCGCATGTTGTAGTTTATTGTTGTTTGCTTTTGCTATCTTCAGGTATGTTACTTTAACTATTTAGAATGTATTCTGTGCTCCCAACCGGAATTGCATGATTAGAAAGCTAATCTTCTGTGTTCAGAATACACTGTGTTAATTTGGCTGTTTTTCATAATTAACAGCTATAGTTCAGTTTTTCATATTTCAGGAGGTGTCCTGTAACTATGAGGGTTAGAACACTGACCTTGTTTTGAAGGGATTAAATTAAAAGTTGAGCTCTCTCTCTCTCTTTTTTGAACAACCCCAGGATTCCCTGCGGGGTTTAAATTTTAGTTTGCACCTGAAAGCCTCCAAGAGATTACATGACCATTTGGCCTCGATTCAGTTGAAATGTTCAATTCCTGATGTTCTATTAAGGAATAAAACCCAAGCACGGGAACTGAAGGGAATGGGTGTTCAAAAAGGATGGGTTTATGGATCAGGATGTGATGGCACGTTGTCTTACGGCACCATTATTCAAGTTTTTAAAAAGGGATCACTGTGCAAACATTGTTGAACACGAATTAAGTTCTCTAAGTATATACGGTTACCAGTTACCTAATATATTGCTGTATTCTCAAATGTTGTTTTGATGTTTACCATCAAGTTGTACATTCTTTTTGGAAAATTTTAATAAAAAGATGTATACAAAAAAAAAGGGATCACTGTAGGTCCCTGTATTTAGAGAAGTTAACCAGCCTTGAATTAAGATTGGCTTTTACAGCTTTAAGATTTCAATCCATGCCCTCAGTGACCAGGACTGGAAGTTACTTTGGTATTCCTGCCCTGCTTAGACTCTGGGCGATTTCGCACTAGAGCTGCCTTGCAGCGCAGCCCCATTTGCCCTGACACAAACATGTTAATTTCACACCCGAGGCTGCGGGGCTGCATTTGACCCGTGGCTTCGTCCGATTTCCTCCGCAGTTTCGTGATCCTTAAAAACCAGGATCACGAAACTGCGGAGGAAATCGGGCGAAGCCGCGAGTCAAAATGCAGCCCCGCAGCCTCGGGTGTGAAATTAACATGTTTGTGTCGGGGCAAACGGCGGCTGCACCGCGAGGCAACTCTAGTGCGAAATCGCCCTTTGTGATATGGAGGAAGTTGATGATATTTTACATTATATTCTGAGTTGCCCATGGCATGAAGCCCCTAGGTTAAAGTACATCATCCCTATTATTCCACAGCGTAATGGACTCTCCAATCTGGATTTGGACAAATTTTTACGCTCGGACCTTGACCACTATGTCTCTAGCAGAATGGCAGTATTTGCCTTAGCAACAAGGAAAGTAGAAGGAGTATAGGAGTAAATTGATATTTTTTATTGTTTACATTACCATTTTTTATAGTCTAATGTATTATGTCATGGCCTATGGCTAAGACAATAAATTTATACCATGTCTAGAGCTGTCTTTTTGAATTTAATACTAGACTCTTGCTTCCTTATGCTGTACTATCTTTAGGGAGTAGGGTGGGGAATGTATCAGCTGTGCAGTCAGGGCCTGAGTAATGGTTGCATTCAGCACCCAGGCTCATCCTCATTTTCAGTCACTTACATTCCATTTCAGCTGTTTATTAATTTAGATATTTATAAATCTCTTTTCTCCTCAATGGTGACCCATGTAGCTTCTCAGATGGCTAGTTTGCTAGGAAGGGGATGATTCACCAGCTTCCTCTGAGTGAAAGTTGAACCAGGGAGTGCAAAATGCACTGCACCCATAGATATGCACATATAAGCATAATTGTACCTTATTGTTGGAGTGGCTGAAAAAGGGATCTGGTTAAAACGGCATAAATCAGAGCCGTCCTGATTTGCAAGAATATTGTAATTTAAATGTCAGTTCTTCAGTTTCTATTTTTGCTTACTCTTTTCTCATTGTCGGTATCCAGATGATGGTGGTGATAATTATTATTTATAAAGCACTTCAAACGCAGGCACTGTAGAATGATTAGCTTAAAAGGAACAAACCCTCATCGCAGATTAACAGTATTTTAAAACAAAAGACCTTGAGGAAAGGGGAATGGAAGAAGGAGAAGGAGAGGTTGGAGGTCAAAGATTTGACTTTCAGTGCTGTATAAACAGCTGCAAGTAGGGTTGCCAACTCTGACGGCAAATTCCTGGAGTTACCGGGGTAGTGCCTAGGGAGGGTGGAGTTTGGGGAGGTGAGGGAGCTCAGCAGGGATGTGATGCCATAAAGTTCACACTGCCATTTCCTCCAGGGGATCTAATCTCTGTAAGCTGGAGATCAATTGTAATTCCAGGAGAAATCCAGGTGACATCTGGAGGTTGGCAACTCTGGTTGCAAGGAGGGTGCAGGTGTTAGGAGGCATCAAACTGCAGAAGAAGAAGCAGCAGCAAGAAAGGACAGAGGCATGAAACAGAAGAAGGTGTTGTGTACCAAGGGAGACTGTGCACGCGGTCGGGCTCGCATGTGGCCATGCGGACAGGTTAAGCTTTGCATCCAGAGACAATAGAAGCGGAGGTGCCTGACGACAGCAAATACGATGGCCCAGATCCCGGGGAACCAGAGGCAACCACTCCAACACATCCAAGGGCAAGTGCTCTACCCGGAGGGGAGGACAATTCAGAACCAACAGGCAGCCAAGAGCCTAGCAGCACACCAGCCCCAGCAGAGGTCCCTGTGGCCGAGGTCCCTTCCCCAGAACTTGGATCTGGACCTAGGGGGGAGGGGTGTAGTGTACCAAGGGAGACCACGCACGGAGTCGGGTTCACACATGGTCATGCGGACAGGTTAAGCTTTGCATCCAGAGACAATAGAAGCGGAGGTGCCTGACGACAGCAAATACGATGGCCCAGATCCCGGGGAACCAGAGGCAACCACTCCAACACATCCAAGGGCAAGTGCTCTACCCGGAGGGGAGGACAATTCAGAACCAACAGGCAGCCAAGAGCCTAGCAGCACACCAGCCCCAGCAGAGGTCCCTGTGGCCGAGGTCCCTTCCCCAGAACTTGGATCTGGACCTAGGGGGGAGGGGTGTAGTGTACCAAGGGAGACCACGCACGGAGTCGGGTTCGCACATGGTCATGCGTACAGGTTAAGCTTTGCATCCAGAGACAATAGAAGCGGAGGATCCAAGAGCTAGCCAGTCGGCCAGCACGGATCCTAAAAGGAACCAATGGTGGGAGTTGTTTGTAAATAAACCTATCATGTGTGTGTGTGTGTGTTGGGTGTGGTTAAGAACAGGAATATAAGTGGGCCATGGGTTAAGAACAGGAATATAAGTGGGCCATGGGTCCCACTAGTTATCTCAAATCCAGATGTAACCTTGCCCCGCACCGACCCAACGATCAGCGCCCTGCATCGCTCCAGAGTCATGGCTGCCGCCTTGGGTAACCTTTCTGCATTTGACCCTCTCATCCCGAATTCTGGGAAGCATGGGTAGAACAGCTCACAAACTTCGAGTACCAGGAGGTCACCGACGTGGGTAAGAAGGAGGCCTTGTTGCTCAACACGTGTGAAGTAGCCACGATTCGCTTGGTCCAGGGCCTCCTCACTCCTAAGAAACTGGCGGACACCACCTATGATGAGGTCATCAAGGCCCTCACCAAGTACTACGTGCCAAAGCCCACCAAGATGGCCAAGCACATGGATTTTATACGCGTCTCCAGAGGCCTGGTGCTCAGATAGTATATATACCACAGATTAGGAAAAATATAAGGAGGATGCCTGCATAGAATGAGCAGTCAAGGAAGATCTAAAAAGCAAGAAAGCTTCATTTAAAAAAAGGAATCTTGCCCGACTAAGGAAATCAGAAAGGAGCACAGATTTTGACCAAAAAAAAAAATCAAGTTGATAATAGGACAAGTGAAAAAAAAATACAAGGAGCACATTGATAAAACATTAAGAAAATCCAGTTTCTTTAAAACATTACTTTTTTCATACTTCTGGTATTTGTTCCTATTGCAATTGCTATTGTTTTGCTGGGGGGCTTGAGTTGGGATTGGAAGCAAATAAAATGCAAAAGATATATTGGCTAGAATTTGAGTTCTATTTGTTGTTGTTGTTGTTCAGTCGCACATTCGAGTCCGACTCTTTGCGACCCCATGGACCAGATCACGCCAGGCCCTCCTGTCTTCCGCCGTCCTCTGAAGTTGGCTCAATTTCATGTTCGTTGCATCGATGACACTGTCTCACCATCTCATCCTTTGCCGTCCTCGTCTTCTTTGACCTTCAATGAAGTTCTATAGTTCAAGTTCTATAGCTTCTCTCATATTTTGGTTTCACTTTGTGTTGTTGCTGGAGGACCCTGCGATTCCAGAGCTCATTTATATAACCAAGAATATCCAGATATTTCACATATATTATTTTGAATGTTGTTTGTTCAGTTATGTGAGAAAGGATTTTAGCTATACACTTTTTGTTGCTTTTGTTCCTTTCTTGGATCACTGCCAAATCACACTCTGATTGCATTGCCTTGTTAATTTCTTTGTCCCTGAAAACTTGAGAAGATGGGATATGCAATTAAATTTATCTCATCTTCATAATTTGTAATCCACCTGTTTCAATGTAACCCACCAGCCATAGATGATGACCCAACATGGTCTCAATATTTCCCCACCTCCTTGCTTAGAACTGCAAAATCAAGGAGGTTGTCAAGGCCATTATAGGCTGCTGGTAGACTGCATTATTTAGGTCAAAGCATCATAAGCTATAGAGACCAAGTTTATACAACTGTTGCGAGTTGATGCAGATATCCTAAAGGTATCCTAAATATTCAGAAACGTTTTTTCTCCTGCTGTTTGCTAATTGTCTCTTGTGTGAACTATGCCTTGGTCATGTAAACAGAACAGAGATTGCAGCAGTTCTAAGTGCTGTTAAATAAGACTTGATTATTTGAACAAACTGAAATTTTACCTCTGCCTAAAGAAACTCAGCAGTCCTCACTAGCTTCCAATTGAGCAAATACTATAGTTTGGAGGTCTACTAGTACTTCAGCTGAGTACTCCCTTTAAGAAGATGCTATCTTCTTTTCAAGACTTCGCTGTATCTTTGTCAGAACTCTTCTTCCTTAAATCTTGTTTTCTTCCATTTTGCATTTTTCATGACAGCATTTTGCAAAAAGGATGAGCTTGCATGTGCCAACCATGACTGTGTACCCCATAAGGGGTGGTGTGATGGGCAGATAGACTGTGCAGACAAATCAGATGAATGGAACTGTGGTAAGTTTTAGTAGCGGAAGAATTTTCTAGAATTTATAATGTGAGGTTTTCAAACAAAAAAAGTGGGAATTGTTGGAGTAATTTTAACTGCACTTGAAGTAGTTGGCTGGTTCTGGAAATTCAATAAGAGAGATGCAAAAGCTGCCTCCCCCTCCTTACAGATGGGAATTCGAATGTATAAGCCCAAATAAATGCTTTTCTGTATGGTCTGTTGAAGCAGAAACAGAAGGCTCTTATAGTGAAAAAAACCAACAACAACCAAGCAGCAAGAAGCCCAAATAAAAGTTTCACACATGCCATATCTGTATAGTATTGGAGAAAACCAAAAGGGCTGTCATGGTCCATATTTAAGTTCTCCAGCAGAAAATAATTGAACCCATTGTATACACGAGACTATTGAAACCAACGCGATTTCCCCCCGTTTGCATAAGGACTCTGCTGTATTATCAAGTAGTCAGATGCTGAGTAAATTATTTTTAATGTAAGCTAGATGTCTGTCCAGCAGTTTAGAGAAAACAAATAATCTTTATTCATAAGGCTGGGAAACTCACTATGAATAAAGAACGCATCAACTGATCTAAATAAGGGGTGGGGAAGGATTTTGAAAGATAGAAGATGTAAAAAAGCTATTCTTGTACTGTGTTGGGAATGATATGTAACACTTTTTAAAAAAAAAATAAGACTGACAGGAAAAAATCCTGGAAGAATTATTTTCTTCTAATATATACTCTATAACAGTTTTGATCCCATGTTGCTATTACCTGTGACGAAAGACAGAAAGATATTCTGATATAGTGGTTTTAAAGAAAGGAAATCAACCATTCTCCAGGCCTGGCTCATGAGCCTCGTGGGCTACGAGGATATAGTTTTCCATGGAGTGCTGAAGCTTGCCGTTGTCTTCTTATAGTCATTAGATGTATTATTGATTGCTCAGCAGCAGAATGAATGTGATAACTGCAAGAACAGCCTGTTCCTGAACCACTTAAGAACAATGGATTTATATTTCACATTTCGTTAATCTGGGCTGTTGCATTAGCAGGGGATGGTCTTAGGTATTCCTTACTCCATTAATAGTTTCGCTGATTTCAATGAATCATTTAAGAATTAAGATGGTAGTCAACACAGACATGGATTGGGTCATCTTCTGAGAGCTATTATTTCCTTTATTTAATCATTTAAACCAAACCCTTCCTGCATTCAGGGCACCTTCCAACCAGTTATAAAATGTTTTAAAACAAGGAAAAACAACCATTATATCAAATAAGATAAAACTATCATAAAAAACAGATGCAAAGTAAGATAGTTTTGCATGCCCTGTGAAAAATGTATAAAGTAAGAATCTTCTGTACCTTCTCTGATAGGCCATTCCATAAGGATGGAGAGCCACAACTGAGAACTAAAAACGTCCACCAGTTGCTATACTGACTAGCCAAACAGAGGGCACATCCAGCAGGGACTGCTGAGCAGATCAAAGATGGCACTTGGGCTCCTATGGCGAGAGCTCGTGTCTTGGATCCACTGGAGCTTTTCTGAGGGTGGAATCATTTCTACCTGTGAAGTGCAATTTTCTTGCCTCCCCCCTCATGCTGCCGTCAGTATGCCTCTCAAAATGCCCTCCATCTGGATGGCTTCCATCTTCCAGGAGCAGCATTTTGGGGGGAGCATTTTGGACTTCAGCACGAAGGAGAAGGTGAGGAATCTGCACTCCACAGGCAGGAGTCATTCTGCCCTTGGAAAAGCTCTGGTGGATACAAGTCCATACGTTTAGACATATTGGTGTTTTGTCCTCATGGGGATACATAAGGAGACACACAGTGTCTTTGACTAGATTGTAGGGCATACAACATATTTTATATATGCCCAGAAACAAGGGATTGGACGGGAGCTCCAGTTCAGTGACAAATGGTTCTGTCTTGTCGACCTTTTTTGGGACAGCTTTGAACAGCCCAGATATCTGGGAGGCAAGCAGATTTAGCTTTCCCTTCTTAGGTGTCGCAGGCTGTGAGCCAAGCGACAGTCTGAAGGCTAGAGTGAAGGAGATCATGCCGGGATATTAGGGTTATCTAAATGGGCTCAGTGCATCACCCTGATGAGTAAAAAGGATTTATCATACATCACCACATTTGGATTGTGGTGAAATGGTCATTGGTGTCTACCTGCAATGCCATTTGATGAAGGTAGCTCACTCATTATGAGCTGCATTTTTCAAGTGTTGAGAAACCGAGTAATGGGGAAAGTAATAGAAACCCAAGTGTAAGCTGTCCCTTTTGGCATATTAAAATTACATCTTCCTTTTTTCCTTCACAGTGACTGTGTCTAAAAACATGAGCTCCTTGATGTTTCTGACTGTTCACAGGTCAGCTACCACTTACCACGTATGTGCTGATGGATGGGAAGAAAATTTAAGCCACTTAGCATGCAGACAAATGGGTTTAGGGTAAGGTCAGTAGTTTGTAGCACTGCTAAATTTTCTGAGAGTGTCAATAAATGTTGGTACAGTTGGTTGAATCTGTGAAGTTTTCATAATCTTTGCTTAATCTGTTTCCTAGCTTAGTGCAGCTGAGTTTTCTGCGAGCTCTCTGATGTTCAGAACTGTGTATGGGTTTTCATTTTGCCACATTAATAGAAGAACTTGGAGTCAACTACTATAATTTAGCAAAAAAACCTTTTCTTCCTTATACCTCAAAACAATCGAACCTACCTGTTAGGATTTCATCTGCTGCCTTTAATGAGGTTGGACCCTTCAGCATTGTTAAGGCTGCAGTCCTGTGCACATTTACTTGAGAAAAAGCCACTCTTAATGGAGAGGGACGTAGGGCCAAATTAGACCAGGCAGTGTCCTCATGTCTGACAAGGGGACACCCAAAGGTCATTTCGGGGGGGATCGCGGGGGATCGCAGTTCCCCCGGGTGAGGTACGGGGGGCGGGGCACATCGGCTTTGCAGGTCCACCGCCGGGCCCCTCATGGGGCTCGGCAGTGGAGCTGCAAGGCCGGCGGCGGCAGCCGGGACCGTTGGGGGCGGGGTGTGTGGCCTTATGACACACTTCCGGTGATGTCAGGGGGTGTGGCATATGCTAATGAGTGATGCTAATGAGTTCCCCTAGCTCTTTTTCTACCAAACGACCTCTGGGGACACCGCTGCCATTTTAAAGCCTGCAATGGGTGATTTCAAAAAATCCATGAGGGGATCAGGCTCACAGCACAGTGGAACAAGGCAATCTTGTTTCCCCCCACATCTTTTCAAGTGCTGAGAGGGCATCCTCCCACAGCTGTTTTGGACTTTAAAATGGCACCCAGGGGGGGAGGACAAGACTGCCTTGTCCCAGTGTGCTGTGGGCCCAATCAAGATGAGACCTTCGCAGCATTTCTAAATTGCCTGTTTTATTATTAATTAATTAATTATATTAGGCTTTATATACCGCCGTCCCTGCAAGCAGGATCAGGGCAGTATACAAAAGAGTCCTTCAAAAATACATACAAATCATGTCTTTTTCACGAACCTAAAGAACCGCCAGTGGGAGAAGCTGCATGAGCTCAGACTATTCTACATACAACTAGAAAGGCTCAGGCCAATATACAAAGAAATAGAGATAGGACGAGGTATCCTGTGTTAGGCAGGTTAGCCTACCATAGGGAAGGGGTGGTTAGGAATAGGTGAGAGGGTCAAGGGAGAACCCCGATGGGCCAGCTAAGCTTATCTTTAGGGTCTGAGTCAAAGGGTGACCAGCCTAGGGAAGTGTCTGGCCTATATAGATAAGATCCACACTTCCAGCCTAGGGAAGTGTCTGGCCTATATAGATAAGATCCACACTTCCAGTGCGGTGAAGGCAATACGTATTGAAAGGATCAGAGATCCCACTGTTTCGTGAGCCTTGCTCAGATAAAATCGCTCCATCTGTCTCACCAGGAGAAACCACCAGTTAGTTTTGTAACCCAGTTGGTGTCGCCCAGTTTAACTCTGAAAACTGTTACAGCTTTAGAACATTTCACTTGTCACCAAAATAAGCTGTTTAACCTTTCTGCAGAAGAGACAAACTCGTCATTGTGTTGTGAAAATAAGGGGTCTCGGTGAGTCCAGAAAAAGGGAAGGAAATACTGTAAGCTCTTGGAGGATTGGCTACATTAGGGGTGTGTCACCTAATATGCAAAGGAGTTCCTGCTACAAAAAGAGCCCTGGAATCACTGCCTGAAAACCAGGGCTGCCATCTGTAGATCCATGCAGTAACTTCACCAAGTTATCCAGCCTTCTTGAAATATACATCTCACTTTACTGACTGCTTGCCAACACACATTTATTGTATGCCGCCCTTCTCTAGGCAGCCATTGAGGAGTCTGTGATGGGTGGAGTTTAAAAAACAGTTAATAAAATCTCAGCATAACAACACAGGGATAGTGTATCATCACTTGTCTTCTAAAAGAAAAGAATCTGGTCTGTAAATGGGCATTCATTAGAGCAGGTTTCCTGCTTTAAATACTTAGGTATGGTCCTTCAATCAAATGGGGCTAAGAAAGCCCATATACAGTATGTTGCCTCCCAAGGTGAAAGAACAGCCAATGCTATTCTTAAATTCTGTCGCACCAAAGGGGCTTATTATGTGCCAGCTGCCCAAAAACTCTTTCAAGCAAAGGTCAAAGAGAACCATCTTAATCATGTTTACTCAGAAGTAAATCATGTTTTATTCACTGGGCTTACTCTCAGAGATATCGTTTTAGGATTACAATCAAAGTGTCTTATCTATTGACTACTATTGGGTCATGTGCTATAGAATTGAGAATGTGCTATGATTGAGATGGTGTTGGGTTTTGGTTCTGTGTTCTGATTGGGCGTAGGGACCTTAATTTGAGCTCTCTGAAGATCTGTGGGGGCAGTAAGGGTTATGGAGTCTCTCGTCACCCACCGTTCTTCCTTGCTTAAACATACACAAGGAAAAAAATGGAATTCTCCTTAATGTGTAATTTGAGCCTGAGCCTCAAAGGAAATATTTTATGGTGTTCACGCAGGGCTATAACCAGCCTACCTTGCCAGGTGTGGTTGCCATATTTCCAGATAGGGATTCAGAGAAATAAATGAAAGTAATAAAAACAGAAACTTGTAAAAACCCTTTCACTAAGCCCATAAGTTCACGAACTGTTGGTGTCAGAAATATACAGGGCTCTAGTCGGGGGGGAGCTCTCAGGTACGGAGCTCCGGAAGAGAACCTCTAGGGGGCGGGGCGGTCACGTGGTGAAGCCCCGCCCCCTACTTTACCCCGCCCTCTGCTTCGATCCTCATTCTGTTTGGGAATGAGGATGAAGCAGGAGGGTAAGTAGCCGGGCCTTCTGACACACTTCCGGTGATGTCAGGGGGTGTGGCCTTCTGTCACTTCCGGTGATGTCAGGGGGCGTGGCATATGCAAATAAGTTATGCTAATGAGTTATGCTAATGAGCTCCGGCAGCTCTTTTTCTACAACAAGACCCCTGGAAATATATAAACTGAATAACAATAAGGACAGTTACTTTTAAGTTTGCAAGTTTTTGTACACTTATAATGAACACGTTTCTTGTGTAAACCATAATATCCTTAAGTTATTTCTGACCCCTTGAAGCATCCTACCATACCCACTTGCACTTCAAGAATACATAAGGGAGATAGTCATTGTGAAAATTCCACCAGTTGGAATCTTGGGTGAGCAGAGCTGAATGTTCACATGGGTAGATTGCAGCACTACCATTTTTGCACTGCTGTTTCCCCCCCCCCCCGAGGGGCTGAACGTTACTTTTGCATGAATAGGGAAAGGGGAACTCAAAGGCCATATAAACCTCATGTATGAAGACCTGGAAGTAATCTAGACCAGTTCCAAAAATGGAACTTGTCATATTATCCAAATTACAATGTAATACAAGCAGAGATAAGTAATAAACGAACCGTACTGGGGCCAGTGGCAGGCAAAGAACAATTTTATGACAAACGTACTAAATATGCTAGGTGGCTTATGCCTATGTATGAAAAATAAGCCAGAAAGTCAGTAGTATCAAAAAAGGTGCTTTGCCAACTCTGCTGAGATTATTTCCATCTGGCTGCTCTGTCAGACAGCCTTGCCAAAATACCCCTTTTGTCCATTCATCTGCAATTTGTACGGTCAGAAGCTATTCCCTGTTTTAAATCATTCTAAAAAGCATCTAGTTAAAACGGAGAAATCAACTTTGAAAAGCAGAGAGCATCGTGTTGCTGGTTGAGAATCTTGGGAAGCTTTTAAGAGGTTTTATTCAGAATTCTCTGGTTCCTTTCCCAAAGATTATTCTCTAGAAATGTATTGATTGCAAGAACTGAGGAGCAGTGCTCCTTGGGGAAAAAATTACTTGCTACTGATGTGGATCAAGTGTCACAACATAAATGTTTAGAACTAAAGGCTTTTATAGGAGAAGAAAACCTGGTCGCTAAGGATAGAGGTTTTCATTATTGGGGTTTTCAGAGCAGTCACCTCTCCAGCTCAAAGAGATCAGTGACAATAATGCCCAGAATTATAATGTGATTCATACATGCATGAGCATCACTTTATTTTTTCATAACTTTACTGTTCAGTACCTGGACTGGTCCATGTGTGCATACTTATCACTTAATTACTGATATCAAATAATGACCTGCACGTGTGAATGAGCCACTGAAGATCAAATGCCACAGAAAAAACATTAACATTACTTCAAACATCATGCTTTTCAATGGAACTTGTTTACGTATTGAGGAATAGGCCATCAAAGCTTGGTCCAAACACACATATATAAACTGTTTGATTTCTCTGCACTTGACAAGTCATATATGAATGTGCGGACTACCTTAACTGAAAAGAATTGTGATTAAAGTGATGCAGTGTTTTACCTGTGATGTTAAGATTTTGAGGGCACATTCAACATGCATGAGGTCATGTTACCATTGCAGTCATCTCATGCAGGTGAACCAAGCTTTGGTGGTCTGTACCTGAGTGCATGAACAGATTTCATTAAGAAATGTTTGTTTGGAGGGACATTGTTAGCCAAATTGCTCTATTATTTAATAAAGATGGGGGATTATAATTATTAATATGCAATTGACTTAACTATAGGATCAGACCTGTGTATACCAGAGTTAGAATTCCCAAGAACCCAGGAACTGACACAGAAACTGGGTGGCTAAAATAATGATTTCTTTACTAAATATTCTCAAGCATACAAACAATATTCAAACATTCACACACACAATACAGACTTAAGGGAGCAGAGGTGATTGATAGCTAGTGGAGGGGTTATGGGGTGATGCTACCTGTCCAGATGTGCAGAGGTCCATGAAGATGAGATTATGGCCTAAACCCAGAGAGTTTAGGGGTGGACTGCCACTTGGCATCATGGCAGAAGCACACGGTCTAAGGCCATGTGTTCGCTGGGATATGACCATTGGAAGACAATGCAGACCAATGGGCGGCCCTGGGGGCTGGTCTAAAGGTAAAGGTAAAGGTTCCCTTGCTCGAAAGCCAGTCGAATCCGACTCTAGGGTTGCGGTGCTCATCTCCGTTTAAAAGCCAAAGAGCCAGCGCTGTCCGAAGACGTTTCTGTGGTCATGTGGCCGACATGACTAAACGCCAAGGCGCACGGAACGCCGTTACCTTCCCACCGAAGTGGTACCTATTTATCTACTTGCAATTTCTTGCTTTCGAACTGCTAGGTTGGCAGGAGCTGGAACTAGAGACGGGAGCTCACTCCGTCTTGCGGCACCCTCGGGTCTCGAACTGCTGAACTACCAACCTTCCACAGCCTGCAGTTCAGCGTCTTAACCACTTGAGCCACCGCAGCTCTAGGTGAGAACAATAGATTACCTGGACCAATGATGAGTCCCAGGAGTGTGTGGCATCAGGATGGGCAGGGCCTAGATGTGACCAATGAGCTTCCAGAGAGGCAGGGTCTGAATGTAACAATAGAAGCCAAGTGTTGGGTGGCTAGTTGAATGGATTATCTGACCACTAATGGTTCTGCCAAAACAGTTGAATAGGTTCCCAGATACAAACAAAAGATGGGAGATGGGTCCTTGATTAGCGTCAGGAAGGATCGTTAATAATTTGAATGCTTGATTGGTTTATCTTGGTATCCTGAGGGATGGAGCAAGGAAGGACAAAGAATTCACACATAGACATGAGATGACACAAAAGGTCTGGGTGAGGTACTGGAGAGAAGAGGACTATTTGCCAGGTGGCCTCTGAATAGACTTTAGAAATGTAGATACTTCACCTGGTGGAACTCATTGTCATTCCATAAGTATCTCTCTGCTGGGTGGAGGGGGAAGACTGGAGGCTTGCTTTGAGGTTGCCTGTCACCTGAAAATGGAGACCCCTTTTTCAGAGCTGTGGCTAGCTCTGTGTTTCAGAACCAGGATTGCCTTCCTTGGCCTGAGTTTTGTGGGTCTCTGGGTCAGGTTAGAAAGTGGGATGCCCCTGCTTTGGGTAGCTTTGGGGCTACCCAAGAGTAAAAGGCAGTGCCTCACATGAATATTTTCCCCCATAGTATTAGTTTTTTTATGGCTTCCATATGGAAGTCACCATTTCATGCCACATTGTTCAAGTTATGAACATGCATGAATAAGGCTTCTTCCACACAAGGATGATCCACACACTATGCTGTCGTTGTGGTTATGATTGCAGAGGCATTTGGAGGAGCAACAGAGGGTCCAGATGGGTCTCCTTGTGTCTGCCGTCACACCCTCTTTATTCTGGGATTTTAAAGAAGCTGACAAAGTTTACATACCTCACTAGAGACTGGGGCTGACATTTTGATGGGCAGTTGGTATTCTCCCACTGGATGGGAAATAGCCATTTGTCAGTGATCAGTTTTGGGAAAGAAGTTGGGAGGAGATTTCTAACCCTGTAGACAGACAAAGAATGTCAGTCTCCATTACCAGGATGTTTTCTTCCCCTGGGGCCAAAGATGCAGCCAGAATGGATTAAACATCTCTGGGGAGCGTGGTCCAAGAAGGCAAATGTTTAACAAGGGAAATATGCAAAAACTAGTGGAAATGACTAAGAATGGAGGATCACAACAGGACCACAGGTGGGAAGATGCGTTTTGTAACATTTTCTCTTCATTATTATCCACTGCCAAATTTGGAGTCTATTATACTCTGGGGTTTGAGTGCTTCTTATGAAAATCTGCTGAATGCGGAATTGCCTGATGAACTGCAATACTTGCAAGACCCTGGCATGCAAGCAAATTGGGGTTTCAGCTGATACGTTTCGCGGAACTAAAACCAGTCTACCTCTTATGGATTGGCTTGATAAATGGAACTGTTTTCCAGGTTCTCTCAAAATACTCGTTTATTGTCAGAGAAAATTACATTTCAAGGTGTACATCTAAGATAATTTAAGGGTCTGCTTAGAATATTTTAGGCTTATACCTTGAAATGTAAAGTACCAAACATAGACAAAGGGACTTTCTCAAGCCAAAACAAGGAAAATACATAACTGTTCATTGAGCAACATAGTGAGTTGGATCAACCAGCTTATCTGCTGCTGATAAAGAAAGGAAGGGGACCCCTTTGATCACAGCAAAGGTTCTGCTGGTAACCACAGGATCTGCATGGACAAGAGCCATGTGGCATGGGGGCTATAGTAAAGAGCGCAATTAATGTTTGGTTGAATGGTAAATTAGATATGTTTAAAAAGTTATTAGATGATAGACATATGTTGAATTGTGAGGGATTTTTGTGTAATTTAAGGGGAATAACCCCCCTTTCATTTTTTCAAATATTTATTTATTTATTTGATTTTTACCCCGCCCTCCCAGCAAGGCCAGCTAAATATTGCTAAAGGATGCAAAAAATAATTTTCTGTGTGCAGATTAAGTTTTGTGAATGCTGAGCAATTTTTAATTATACAGAAGAATGAAAAAATTAGCGAGAAAATGTATCCCTTTGCTTTTTATGAATTGTTATGAACACCCTTCTTTCATTTCTTTCATTGGAACCCACCCAATGACCTTTTCATAATGTCATGATTTTGTATTTTGGAAATGGTGGGTGGGAATTACTTCTCATGAGTTTTTATGTTTTTCCCCACTGTTAAGTTCAACTTTGTTTCCTGCCTTAAAGTAAAGGTTCCCTTGCTCGAAAGCCAGTCGAATCCAACTCTAGAGTTGCGGTGCTCATCTCCGTTTCAAAGCCGAAGAGCCAGCGCTGTCTGAAGACGTTTCCGTGGTCATGTGGCCGGCATGACTAAACACCAAGGCGCACGGAACGCTGTTACCTTCCCACCGAAGTGGTACCTATTTATCTACTTGCAATTTCTTGCTTTCGAACTGCTAGGTTGGCAGGAGCTGGAACTAGAGACGGGAGCTCACTCCGTCATGCGGCACCCGGGTCTCGAACTGCTGAACTACCGACCTTCCACAGCCTGCAGTTCAGCGTCTTAACCACTTGAGCCACCGCAAACTACAAATTCCTGCCTTACCAAAGATTATAAAGAAAAAAATGTAGGCTTTTAACGATGGCACCTCATTCACCGAGAGGGGTGAATGCAGTGGGTGAATGCATAATTTAATGAAATATTAATAACCGATGAACTGGTGGTACCAAAGAAATAGCCTTTTTGATGAAGTATTTGCATAAGCAGCCTTATAGCAGAGTATTTCAAAAACAGAAGGAAACTTTTACTTACCCAGAGGCAAAAGGAGCCATAAAATGGACTTAATGACTTGCCAGATCTGATTATTTGCTTTTGAGCCTTTTTAAAGAGACCTGGTTTCAGTGCCATCTGAAAGGGCCTCCTGGACTTGAAGGGGGGGGGAATCCTTCACTCTTGATAATGTCTTATTAAAAAGCAGTTGGAATTACATTGACAGATACATAATGGACCAGGCGAGAATGGTCAGGAAGAAGGAATCCACAAGGGGCAGACATTGAATGTGATGGCTAACAATATAATAGAAACATGAATGCATTAGACAGATGCAAAGTAACATGAACTACACTTTGGGCCACTAGAGAAAAAGCTTGCTGTTTCCATTTCCCACTCTTT